TTTGCGGACGATGTCCAACGAGGCGACCGGCGTTACCATCAAAGAAGAGGCACAAGTTCCGGTAGACACGAGCAGCGGTGCAGAGGTTTGTGTGTAGTTGTAATTGTGCATTTGCTGTCGAGTGCCGTTATGTTGTTGCCTGTTGCTGTAGAAGATAGAGAGAGACAGGCAACAAAACAAACGGTACAATACAGGGTGTATGCATACAGGGTGTCGCATTGCACGTGTTCGCGCTCTGTTGAGTTTTTTTATTCGATTTTTCTTTCAAAGTTTTAGCCCTCTCTGCTGTGCATTCCATGAATTATTTATTCTAAAATTCTTCTTTGTTGCTTTCTGTTTGTTGCTCTTTCTGCAGGCAAAGAAACCCGATAATCAGTCGGAAAAGGCCGAGTCTCAACTTGCTGGCGGCAGCGTGTCGCAAGCCGAGTCGAGCGACAGCCATTTGCAGCGTCTGCAAAGTTTGCGCAAGGAATTGAGCTACATCAGCGAAACGGATTGGATGTACGAGAGTCTGGACAAGAAGCCGCAACAGTAGCAGACACGAAAACAAGATGCTGTCAGTATTGCGCAATTGGTTGCAAAGGGACGAGCGGGAGCGCGAGCGAAAGTTGGACTTGATTGAGCGGGAGAACAATTTCTTGGATCACGAGTTGAGCGAGGAGCAGCAGCAGCAGCAGCAAAAGGGAGATTCGTCCTGCATGCAGAACATTATCAAAAGCAAACAGGAAATGGACAACAGCACGTGGCAGGAGGCGGATGACAAGTCGTGCTCGAGCCGGCAGGGCGTCATCACGGAGCTGCACAGCAAGGGCGGCGTCATCGATACGTACATTCCCTTCGATGGGCCAGCGTCCGATCACATCTACCATCAGCTGGTCAAGGGCTCGGTGGTGGAGTATCTGGCGTACAAGAAGGCCAACGAGGAGTTTCTCAAAGTGGTCAAGATACTGAAGGTGATTGAGCAAGGCTGGGGAGAATCAATCACCGATTCAACGGTAGGACCCGACCTATAACTCCCCTGAAGCACTCTATGAGCCATTCCCTTTCCAGATAACGGCAGCTGTGGAGTCCTTGAAGCTTGAGGACTCCACATACTTCAAGACGCAGGAGCGCATCGTTCATGGCATGGTCATCGAACGTCTGCAATCCACAATCGAAGTGGACACCAGCTCGGGCCGTCAAAAGTTTGATCTAGAAAACGTTGAGCTGACTTTTGTGCCCAAAATGGGCGACTACGTGACACTCGAGTGCGCCGTGCAGCTGGACGATGGCTATGTGGACAAACAGGGGGAGATCCTCCAACTGCTAAAGGTTTTTCCCACGCGCATTCTGTCCAACGAGAAGTACAGGGTGGAGCGATGTTTTCCCGAGTTTGCAGTGCTCGGCGAGAATGCGTATTTGCTGCGCGAGAATTTCCCCAGTGGCACAGAGCTGCATATGGGCGATTATGTGCTGGCGGATCTCATTGAATGTGTTTATGTAAGTTGGCTGTGAAGTCTAGCCCCTGCAAATCCTTAATCTCTATTCCCCTTCAGTCCAAATTCACGTATCGCGCCATCAAGGTGATGCCGCAGGAGAGCAACTTTCTGTCCATGAAGAAGGAGAAGACCTTCTCGGGCGATCGGCATGTCATCATCACTGGCGCCACTCGCTTCATAACCACAGAGCTGTGGGAGAAGCACAAGATTACTCTGAAGTTGCAGAACAATTCAAATCGCAAGTTGGAGCTGCACGAGGTGCAGCTGGATCATGGCCATGCATCGCAGATTCGCGTGATTGAGCCGCTTACCAAGACCTGCCTAGGGATTGAGGGACAACTGTCGGTTATACTGGAGGTGGAGGCTCGATGCATTGGCGAGTGGGCGGAAAAGTACACACTGGACTTTATGAAATTTAAGGTTGTGCGCTGCTTCAAGATCATTGCCTGCGAGACGCAGAAGGAGGCCGACGATGCCGAGCGACGTCTGCTGGCGGCTGAAAGTTTTGTTGTCTCTGGCAGATCGGAGGCGCAGCGGAATCGCAGCTATGCCAAGAACGTGTGGGCCAACACATTGGATGTGGTGCGCGGTGAGAGCGGACTTTGCAGACAAAGATTTGTGCTTACGCGCATTGGCAACTTCGATGTGCCGGAGAGTCTGCGCAATGTCTATCTGCGGGATTGCCGGCCAACGGAGGTGCTCGACGACCTGGAGCGTCTGTATCCGTGCTCGACAGAGGCCCTGTGCATGGCCAACTATGTGCAGCGCTTTCGATTCTTTTTGCATTTGGAGGAAATTGAATTTTTCGTTTGCATTCGCAACTTTGACAGGGACAGAGCCCACATGGAGCGCGATGGGGAGTACCTGTCGCTCACAATTGAGAATCTCGCGGAGCGTCGGCCCTCGCTGGTCATCGGGGATACCGTGTGTGCCATCAATCCCTGGAAGGATGTCACCTCGGACAACAAAAGCTACTCGGGCTGCATACACAAAGTGCTCTTCGATCGAGTGCTGCTAAAGTTTCATCCCAACTTCCAGGAGAAGTACAATGGCGAGGACTACCGCCTGGAGTTTTACTTTTCGAGATTCTCGCTCAGGAAGCAACATCATGCCATCAGTCAGGTTGTCACCAGCCTCGGCGAGCAGTTTCTCTTCCCCAGCAAGGTGACGAAGCGCCCCCATCCGCAGTTGCATGTGCGCCTCGTCGATGGGGAGGACATGTATCTGTTCGACACGAAGCTGGAGTGGTACAACAAATCCCTCAACAACATTCAAAAGCGTGCCGTTTTCAATATTCTCCGTGGCGAGGCCATGAACCTGCCCTACGTGATCTTTGGTCCACCCGGCACGGGCAAGACCGTCACCCTGGTGGAGGCTGTGCTGCAGATGGTGCGAAATCTTCAGAGTTGCCGCATCCTGGTGGCCACACCCTCAAACAGTGCTGCGGATCTCATTACCCGACGCATCATTGCCAGCAATGCACTGTCCCCGGGCGACTTCGTTCGCATCGTTTCGCACAATTTGATCGAAAAGGAACTGATTCCCACCGAGCTGATGCCCTACTGCGCCACCTTGGACGTGGGCATCGATGGCAGCTCTGAAGATAATGTAAGTCCATCCCATACCCGATCCCACTTTCTAATTGTGAATTCCTTGCAGATGCTGGTCACTGAATCGGGTCTGAAGCTGCGCTGCAAGTGGAAGTTTATGGGCGGCCATCGCGTCAGCATCGGCACCTGCGCCACCCTGGGCAACTTTATGCAAATGTCATTTCCGGGCGGGCACTTCACTCACCTGTTTCTGGACGAAGCGGGTCAGAGCACGGAGCCAGAGGCGTTGATGCCTGCGGCTCTGCTTTCCAAGGATCGGGGTCAGGTCATTCTGTCCGGTGATCCGCATCAGCTGCAGCCCATAATATTAAGCAAGTATGGACGTAACTGTGGCTTCGATCTCTCCTTGCTGGAGCGCTTGCTGGCCACTCAGCCGTATGCCAAGGACCTGGTCGGGTACCCCGAAAGCTCTGGATACAATCCCCTCGTGCTGACGAAGCTGCTGCACAATTATCGCGCCCTGCCCTCGATCATGGCCACGTACAGTAAACTCTTCTACGACGATGAACTGATTTCAATGGTTTCAGAGGAGAACTCACGAGAGCGCACGCTGTTGGGCAGAGTGCAGCCCGTGCTGGGCACGGGAATGCCGCACAATCATGGTGTCTGCTTCGTTGGCATTATGGGGCAGAATATGCAGGACAGGGACTCACCCTCGTGGTACAATCCGCTCGAGGCCAGAGAGGTCTATCTCATGGTCATCTCGCTCTATCGCTGCGCAGTGACGCCCGATCAAATTGGCATACTGACACCCTACTCGAAGCAGGTGAAGACGATAAGGGGCCTGTTTATGGGCACAAATGTTGCCATGCCGAAAGTTGGCTCCGCCGAAGAATTCCAAGGACAGGTGAGCATAGAGGAATCTATTAAACATTTAATGCCTTGATAACCCCACCAGGAACGCGACATAATGCTCATTTCGACTGTACGCTCCTCGGAAACGCTGCTCGTCAAGGACGCTCACCTGTCCCTCGGATTTGTGCGCTGCCGCAAGCGTCTGAATGTGGCAATATCCCGCGCCCGTGCCTTTTTGGTTGTTTATGGTAATCCCCATCTGCTGAGCGTCGACGACAATTGGCGTCATCTCATTACATTTTGTGCTAACAACAATGCCTACTTTGGCTGCGAACTGCCCCAATCTTTTGTGCCAGACGAGTCCGATGGGGAAGCTGACGATTCCTCCGACTCTTACCACGAGGTTAGCGACTCAAGTTTATACTAATAATAATAATATGACAACTGCAGTTACATACCATGTAAAAGCTGTGCTTTTTTCTTTTGTTACATCAATTAGTAGGAATAAAAACATTCTGAGAACGAGTAAACAAAGTCTTTGTGGGAAAATGTTGGATGACTTATGTATGTAGCTGTGTGTTATGGCTGCATTGATTTTGTAGGAGCTTGACGTAAGGTGGCTCATATAAACATTCGATTCACATCGTATCGTTCTCTGGCTGAGCTCTGGAGTCTGTAGACTTCATGGGTATTCTAGCTGTGCGGATCTGAAGTAATTTCATCCATCGGAAGTAATTAATTTCGTCTCTAAGAAAATTTAGTTTGAAAGCCCTGTCTAAACGGGACTGCGGCAGATTGTTAGCATTTGCATCGTTGTGTTGCTTCCGCAGAAGTTCATAACTGGTTAATTGATCTTGGTCTGCCTGAATGTCAAGCCTCTCATGGTATTTACTTTACTCTGCAAACTATTCCACTACTTTTAAAGTAGTTTTAACACCATTTTGCGTATGTATTCTCTTGAACTAATATAATTGGCAAAGCAGCTGCGCCTTTTAAAGAAGGCTTAATGCGTTGCTGTTATTGTTCTGCCGCTGCCAACAGTCTGGCAGCCTTGTTCACAGATCAACAACATACGCACACGGCGGTCACATTGACAGGAACCGTTAGAGCGGCCATGTTTTTCTTGTTGTGTTTTTCGTAACAAAAAAAACAGAGACGTAAATCTGAAATTTTAACGATTTTGTCGAATACATTAAAAATAAAGGCATTTTAATGCAATCCAATCAAATGGCACAAATCGCCATCGAACAGAATACCTTTGCACTCGGAAAGCAAGGTGCGCAGAGCAAGGATCAACTACAAATTGAGGTTCGTGGCTGCCAAATCTATTTTTTTATTTTTTTTGCACTGCCAACAAAAATTACCGTACTTGCAGCGTGTGTGGAAGATGCACTGGCTCACTGACTATGCAGACGACATATTCGTGAACATGAAGGAGGCAGAGATGCGGCGCCGTCCCATATATTTCAACTCGATGCAGCTGGACGAGCGTCCCCGCCTGGTGCAACTTTGCAACCTTGCCGCACGCACATGCAAACTGAATCGCGCCACAGTGCATTTGGGTAAACGTTGGCGAATATCTTGTTATTACTATTGATACTCAAGCATCTGATCTGCGCAGGTATCTACTATATGGATCGCTTGACCGACTACTTTACGATTCGGAGCGACAAATTGCAATTGCTGGCGCTCACATGCCTGCACATTGCCGCCCAGATCGAGAACACCGATGCGAATGTGCCGCGCTACAAAGAACTGAATTGCCTCATAAGAGAGGGCTACACGCCTTTCGAGTATAAGGTGGTGGAGCGCAAGGTGCTGACCCACCTGAATTTTGAGCTTATGCGCCCCACCACGGCCAGCTTTACGGAGTTATTTGCCTGCTCCTTCCTGACGCGCGCCGATTACGTCAGCTACAATGCCTTGCTGGAGAACGGGGCTGCTGCCGGCGAAGGCATTCAGTACTTGCTGCCGTACGACAGTTTTGAATCAATGCTGGCGGCCTTGTCACATCTGCTGCTAAGCTTATCAGACTGCACATTGAGCAGTAAGCATCGAGTGAATATCCCATAAATATCGTTCAAGCTTCTCTCTCTTCCTTTCAGTTAATAGTTTTGCCAATGTGCGACCTTCCTTGTTGGCTGCTGCCTGCATAGCGGCTGTGCGTCGTCTAAGCGGACTTCAGCTCTGGTCACAGTATCTGACCAAACTGACATCGTACACGCAGGAAGAGGTTGAGCCTTTGGTGGCAAATATCAGAGAGTACTATCACTGGTACCAGGGGCTAAACACCTCCACGTCATACGTAAACATGGGACCATCATCGGCGGACAGCATTAATCCCAATTGGTCCACACCGGACTCTGGCATAGAAGAGTCAGTGGTCGTAATGGAAGAATTGGTGACCGTGGAGTATAATATAATCACTGTGGAGCTGCAGGAAACAGCTTCAGGCTTCAATATAGATCAGGAAGAGCTGCCACAGCCGCAGCAACAGGCTGCCCCAGCCTGTGTAGAGCTGCAGGAAAAGGCAAAGTCGCAGGCATCAAAAGCAATGGTCATGGCAGATCTGCGACGTGCATTCAAGCGCAAGTCCAAGGAAATATATAGTCAAGAGGAGCCGCAGGAACAGGCTAACTCAAGTGCAGTGGACATGGCCGAGCTGCAACGTGCACTCAAGCGAAGGCTCATCGCAAAAAATTGCCAAGAACAGCTGCAACCGAAACGCCAGCAATGATAATAACTTTGGATTCGGTAATATTTCGGTTTACTGAAACCCAAACAAAAACTCAGGCGCAAGCGCATTGAAACAGATTGCCAAGCAAGTAGATTGAGAGGTCTAGAAGCATTTAAAATAATTTAAATGAATATGCTGGGTGCCATATTATGACCATAATCGTAATGCTTATAAATATACACAAAAACACACATTAATATATATTCCTCGTTTATATTTCATTTAATGCATAATTGGAATCATTTCTTATCAAAAAAATATTACACACACACACATGCCAATCAGCTAAAAATCAACAATACAAGAGTTATTATTAACTAAAGAAAAACAGTTTTCTAGGCAACAAAATAATGCACAAACAAGTCGAGAGTGGCAGGAGGAGACATAGACGGAGGAGTAGGAGGGAATTAAGGAATGATCCATTTCAAAAATGCTAATACTAAAATAGTAAATGGAAAAAAGAACTGCAGCTGCTAATGGGAACTCCCACAATGCAGCTTCAGTTGTTAACATTAAATTATAATTTTTTATTGCTCCCAAAAGGGAAGAAAAGTCTTCTAGCCTAATTTCAAATGCAAGAATGTCCGAGAGAATGTAGAGACAGAGTGGCAGGGGGGGGGGGGGGGGGGGGGGGGGGGGGGCGAAGGGAGAGAGGGTACTAACTATGTCACTTATCTGCCAGCCAACAATAAGAAACGTTTTGAAATTTACAACATTTACAGGACCAGCGGAGGGGCATGGCTGATGCTGCTACTGCTGCTGCTGCTGCCTCATCGCTGCATGTCGCGTCGCTTGAGCACATCGAATATGACATCGGATGAGTTCTGTTTGTTGTTCAGATCATTGCCAGACTCATCCTCAGAGTCGGTTTGCTCCAGCAATGGCACCGTCAACGTCGAGTGAGATCTCACATGAATGCCAGCAATGGAATTATCCGCACCACCACTGCCAGCAGCTCCACCATCATTGAAATTATACTCCGCCGAGAGGTCGTCATGGTCGTTGTCCAATTGCAGTTCCTTGTGCTGCTTCTCCGCTTCGGCCATGGTCGAGTATTTGTGCCACAGATGGCAGGCAATGCCCGCGAGGCAGACAACCAGACCCACATAATTGATGGGACTCAGTTGATCCTTCTTGAGCGTGACGGCCAGAAATAGCTGGCAAATATCCTTGAATATGCCCGCTATCGAAAGCGTCAGACTGGAGGTTTTGCACAGCACCAAGAACTCGGTGAACTCCATAAGAAACGCGAGCAGTGCACCGAAAGTTATTCTGGCAATGGCCCACGTTATTTCATCCGTCGTGTACACCTTCAGATGCTCCGCCACAGCGTACAGCTTGACACCTGCAAAGGAACAGAGATTAGTCAGTGGAACTCGCAGGCGGAATTAATTCATTACGCACCTTCAATGCCACAAACAAGCGGCAGTAGGGAGGCAATCATCCATGGCTGCATGTAGTAAATCATGTCAATGGGATTGTGCAGTCCCAGCTTTGATTTTTGCATTATAAACTGTGCAAAACTCCAGCGCAGGCCGCTGCTCAGCGAGGCGAACAAAATGAAAAAGAAGCCCAAGGCATTGAACTGCGTTGACTTGTAGGTAAACATCACCAGGCCAGCGCCAATGAGGCCCACAATAGACACCAGAGACCAGCTCTAACAAAAGGGAAAAAGAGAGTATAAAATATAAACACTCCCTCTTGTAGAAAGACGCACCTTCTTTTCCAATCCTAAAGCTATGGCAAACAGCAGTATAAACACTATCGTGGATGATTTGGTCATTGTGTACAGCGATATGGGCACCAGGGCCAGGCCCCAATTGGAGAAGCCAATGTCAATGGCACTGGCCACGCCAGTGGGTGCCATTTTGCGCAGTGCCACACGCCAGTCCAGCTGCACACGCGATCGGCCCACGCGCAGCTTGTAGATCTTGCGCACGAGGGCGGCCAGAATGAATTTCAGTATGAGGTGATACGTGACAATGGTGAGGGGGAAGGGCATCTCGCGATTGATGTCCGTTTGGTAGAAGGTCAGCATAATGGAGAGCGCCAGATAGGCCATAATAATGACCAGTGTGCCAATGGCCATCTGCTTGATGCGCGCATCTGACTGACGCGCCATGATCTTCTCCTGTGCCGACGTGGCTGCAACGTCACTGCCGCCTGCTCCAATGCCGCTACCTATGCTACTGCTGCTGTTCACGTATTTGAAGTTGCTCGCCAGTCGTCTATCTTTGCCATTCTGCAGCGTCGTAGTTGTCGCCGTCGTCGTAGACGTTGTCTTCTTGCCCAGTTCGATTTCCTCGCAGTCATCGTCATCGGCTCCGCTGCTGCTGCCAACACCGCCAGAGCAACCGCCGCCACCCCCTCCACTCTGGGAATTGAGGCGTTCGTACTTTGCGGCCACCATTATCGGTGGGTTTTGTGTGTTTTGCTGGCTGGGCCACAACGTAAGAAGTTAACAACAATATAAGACCAGTCTAAAAGACAACACACAGCCGATAATTACTCACATTACGTCTTCGTCGCTGCGCTATCTGGAGAGTTTATGGATCCATCCATATGTTTGTAGTTTGTGCAATTTCCCGCGTCCCGCTTGTGCCTGCCGACCCCACTGTCTGTTATCTGCGTAGGTGGCTCTGACTGTGACTTGTTGTGGTTGTCGTTGTACTCTTCCGTTTCACCAATCAAATAAATGGTTTTTACGTTTTCATTTTTGTTCATCCAATCCGTCCGTCCGTCCGTCCACTTGCTGCCAGCTGTTTATACACAAATCAACAACATATTTACGGCGTATGGAAATACCCTATTTGTTTTTATTAAGGTTTAAACTATTTTTTCCAAGCTGCTATGATCACTTTCTCCCGTGTTGACATGTTTTGTTTATATATTTTATCTATTAACTTATTCAAAATTGGCTACAAAGTGTTCCCCGCTACGATGAAAAAAGGGGTATGGACAACATGCAAAACGGACCAGAAAGCGCAACGCGTGCCAAGAAAAACCCACCCAACTCCCAAAATAACCTGAATTTCATGGCACATTGTTGCTCAAACTGGGCGAGGTGCGGGTCGAATTTTGGCAACTTTGGCACATATCGATATATCAGTTTGTAGTGCGATAGCATTTTAATTAATATTTATTTACTTTTTATGTTCGACTGCAACATACAAAGAAACAATTTCATGAACATGGGCAATTGCCACCTCATAGGGCTTTATTTACACATTAAACAAGCTGTTTTTTTATCACTGTGCGTTTAAATAAATGCATTGTGTATTAGGGCTTGCAATTCCATCATAATTAAATGATTATAACAATAAATTGATAGTGCGGCTGCATGCCAGCTGCTTCGTTGTGGCGCCATTTGGTTTTGTTTGCTGTTTAGGCATTATTCAACTGCTTCAGTACAATAGGAGCTGCGGATAAGACCAAAACGAGAATGAGTACACACATTTTACATAATTTTGCAGCTGGAAAATCTTACCCAGCCGGATGGCGGCAATGAGGCTGCCGAAAATGATGAAACTGAAGCGAACCTCGGATGCCACACGCTTCTGCTCCTCGGCAGGATCGGGTTGAGCTTGTTGCAGGCGGAACATGATGCGCAGGTTAAGGTTTCTGTAGAATATTCCTAATTATTAACAACAAAATGTGAGAGAATGTTATCACTCTTGTTTTCTTGCACGTGCCTGATATCGATATATCGAAACTGTAGTAACTACCTGCTTGGGCTAATACCCCTTCCAATACAGTGTTGTAGGTAGTTCCGTTATGACGCACCTTCTTGTACTAATACAACTTGCATATTTAACGTTTACCGGTGGAAACATAAAGTTGTAGAATCTCATCATTTTAAGTTAGCGCTATTATTAATTTCTAAAGGAGCCTTGAAATCAAAATTTTAACATTTATTAATGAGAATATGGTAGACAACTGCCAATACCACCAGTTGGCAAGCAACAAGTAGCCTTATGACGAAACCACCACCTGACATGTTTTATGCTAATTTATATTGTGTGTTAGTTTTTATTTTGAAAACTATTTCGTAAGCAGTGTCATAAAGGAAGCAATCTGCATCGAAATCCTGGCAATTTGCGACAAAATTCAAGCAACATGATCTACAACGGCAGTGTTTCTCTCTCTCAAACTCATACAATATAGCAAGCATGGCATTTGAAGAAGAACGCGACGAGGCGGGCTTGAAGTTGGGTGCTGCCGGGCTTTTGCCTCGTTGTCCATACCTTTTTGCACATTCCCTGCGCTACAGTAGTACAAAAAATGTCCTGGGAAGGACACTGGACCTTGCTGCCTCAATCTTTCTCGGGCGCCGCCGCGGACAAGGAAAAACTCGCGTAGTTTTCGATTCCACCACCGTACACTGTAATAATTTCGTCGTTCAATCGTTAAAAATCGAAGAGCAGCAAGAAATAATCACAACAACAAAATGCGGTGCAGTGGCAGAATATGAATGAAACTCACACAGGATTTCCCCTAAACAAAGCTCTGCACAACAGCAAAAGTGATAGAAAAACCAACAAGCGGGCGTGAAGTATCCCCAGCACCAAAAATGTCGACCATTGTGGAACAGGTGAGAGAGGCAAGCTTCCTTATAGAGAGGCGGAATGCACGTTACAAATCAAATTAAAGTCAAATGAAAATCCAATTGGAAGGAGGCCGCTGCTCTTCCCATTGGGTTTTTCTTACATAAATGAATGAAGCTTATCAGCTATTAGGCTGGTATTTTGCCTGAAAGACCGCCTGCCGACTGCGTAACATTCAGTGTCAGTGTATGGAGGCAGCTTGTGTGTGTGTGTGTTTTGATTGTATTTGCGTGTATGTATGAATATGTGTGACTGAATGAGAAGTGTATCTGTGTGTGTGTGTGTGTGTGTGTGTGAGAGTGTTTGGCTGCTTGTTTTTTGCATGGACACATTACCATGGAAACAGCATGTCTCGAGTACTTCCTGACGCAAAAACCCACCGAACTGCTTTCGATTCGACAGTAAAATTCGATTAATTTCTAATCGGCAGACTCTGTGTGACAAGTGCAGACATGTCTCACACACACAAACAAGCTTTCACGTACACCGAACATGCACACCAACGGACAAATATAAATAGCTGGCATTTTGCAAACGGATTTCGGTTCCATTCACCCCCTACCACCCAATTCATTCCGATGAATACCACACTTGGACGCGATGTTGCATGCAAATTTGATTTGCTCTGGTATTGGTTGGTGTTTGGTGATTTGACATTTTGTGGCACAGAAAGTCCTTCAAAACAACACACTCTTTCCGCCTTGCAATGGCATTTCAAGTGCAGTCACACTACCATTTGATTGACTTGACGTCACGGAATGAAATGTTTCTATTTCTGGCTTAGTGTTTGTCTGAATGATAATTTAATGAAGGGTGAAGGTGAAAGAGAAGTATATTTTAGCTAGGATTTTATTACCTTAATCAATAGTTCAATTGTTAAATTATCTTTTGCTTGAAAATCAATGCCTAGCCTTGACTTCTGCCCAGCTATAGACACACACTTGGAAAGTGCATTGCCATTTGCAAGGCAAACCTTGAACTTTGCCTCAAAACTTTACCCAATTGAATAAAGTCTTTAGAGCTCTGCTGCCAAAAATCAGCTTTAATCAAATCCTCACCGCTGGGAGTCGTCCCTGCACAAGTTGAGTTTTTCCTGCAGGAATTTTCCTTATAGCCTGTCTGCTGTCGCGTCTCTTCTCTGTCCTCTGTCCTCTGCCTCGTTCTCTTCTCTTGTCGCTGTGGCTGTCAAAGTCAGTGGAACTTTTTGTTGCATACTTTGGCAAGAGATGCGCGCATGTAGCGCGAGTCATTACATTTTATAGACTTTATAAGAAGTTTCGCTTATGCAGTTTGCTCGAAACTTTTCACCTTGCCCGCCGAACATCTCCATACATACGCAAATGTATATCTTTTGTACTTTGCTCAGGCTTTTGGCATTGTGGTGAAAAAAGATAAACATTTCTGCAAGGTTTTCCTCTCGTTTTATGGCCAAAGCCATTAAAGTTTGCTTGTGGGAAATGCGTATGGAAAATACTCACAAAACAAATTGAATACTCTCTAAAGACTGTTCTGTCAGATCTGTTCATCTCTGATCTGCTGAACTTCAAATGAAACATTTTTTTGGCCAGACCTTAATGCGAGGCTTTAATTTATGCCACCGCAAAGGCCAAACTCCTGCCGTATATATATAAGCCAGATATATAACATAAATATATAAAAGTGGCTGCCCCGTCAAGTGCAACTATGCCGGGCTGCCACCCCTTTCTAGCCGCCATAGTTGCCATTACGTGAGAGGCTTTCACCTCCTTTTTGCCACCCATTTCCTCGAGGTTTTTTTGTGCGCCATTTTGTCAGAGCATAAATTACAACTTCGGGCATACCTGCCCCAGGCCCGAGGGGAGAGGAAAGAAGCGAAAGAGAGAGGAGGAGAGACAGGATAAACAGAGTGTGTGGCAGGTGAGGCAAAGGGCGAAAGTTGTGGGGCAGAGTAGAATGGAGAGAGAGAGAGCCTTTACAGTCTGTTGCTGCTGTCAGTGTCGCCGGTTGTTGCCAGCTTACATAATGTTAATGATGCTGCCCCTAGCCGGCAACACAGAGAGAGAGAGAGAGAGAGAGTGTGTGTGTGTGTGAGAGAGAGATGGCAAAGGGGAAGCTCGTTTCATGCCGTTTGCCAAAACAAAAGTCAGACCCAAGAGTGTGGAGAAAGGACGAGTGGGGAGTGGGACAGTCAGCTCGTTGTGACCTCCGTGTGTACAATGGCCCACTCTCTCTCTCTCTCGCTTCAGTCTAGTTTACAGGATCTGCATCCTACGGCATCCTCTAGTATCCTCCGTGCAGTTGTTGTTTTCGGTCCTTTTTTTCTAAAGCTGTGCCCCAGGATTAACCGAGATGAATGGATATTAGATAGAAGTTTAGGTTTAATAGTACTTTGGATGAATCGGAAATACCTGCGGACATATAATGGATACGAAATTGAAGATTGCTCATCAGAGATAATTGGTTTTAAAGTAGAGATTTCTAGAATGGAATCTACCGAAGAAGTGGCTACAATATTTCTTTAGTATAAATATAACCAACAGATAATAGTTTGCATGGTTTATAAGAGATTATATGGGTTAAAAAAGGTTTAAAATTTACGCTGATCAAAGAACTAAGAGAGTTTTCCCATTCAAAGAACGGGAATATCCTGCCACTTGGGTTTCAAATGTGTTACTCCAAAGATTGTTGGAAATTTCCATGAGAGCTGCACGAATGTTAAAGGAATGGTCCATGAAAAGTCTTTAAAAATATAAAACTGCTGTAAAAAACCATCGGAATATATTCTCAAAAAATGTTTATTCATAATGCAAAGCACAAACATTCACAGATTCATGAGTAATATTTGAAGAATTTGTAAAATTTCATGTATAGTTTCATGTGTTCTTCCTAATGTTTTTCCCCTCCAAGAACTAACATTTGAAGTGCAAATTAAACTTTATATTTCAGCACGAAACTCGCGCAAGCCAGTATATTCGCCATTATAGAATCATATTTGAGCCATTTGAGTTTCTTCCTGTTCGGAAATTGCTCATATCTTTGTCTCATAATTGCTCATACAGAACTCTGTAGGGGTATACGAGTATATATTTCGGTTCGATTGTGCTTCTGCTTCCGTTTCCAGTTTCCTTGCATATTTTTTAATGCTGCCCCATGCATAATATTTCAATTTGGCGGTGCAACAAAAGAGTTTTCCTTGGTGAGTCACGTAATGCGCCAGAGGAAGAGCGCGCAAGAGAGAGGGATTGACTGAGAGAGCAGGAGCTGATGCTGGAGCTAGCCCCATCAGCATACAGCATCCCCAAGGATATGGCTGCTCGTTATGCTTATTTGCTCACATATACAGCTGCAGAAACAGTTGCATGATGCACACGAATGTGGCAAGGAAATTGCCCCAAAGGTCCTGCCATCCACAACGAAAGAGATGGAGCAAGGGAGGAGGGGTGTGGGCGAGTTGTACAGCTGCAGGGTTCATGGCCCTGCCACTGACCGCCAATGTACTGTGTGTGTGCAGCATGTGGCAGGGCCATAAAATTGCTTGCCCTTCCATGTGCATCCTTGATGTGATCATTCTGGCCCTTTGGACTCTGGCACGCCCCCACGCCCCCATGCCCCACACGCCCTTATGGCCCCGTAGCACATGTTCAAGGTCAAATTTAGTCGTTTTGATTTAATTTATTGTTGCATCCATAAAAAAAGGAGAAGCCAAAAGCAGCACCAAAGCCAAAAACACCTGCCACACACTCGCTCCCTCGCTTTGCGGCATCTCCTCCCCCCTGTTTGTTGCTTTGCCCCAAAAGGCAATATTTTGCTTGTCTGCCTTTATTTATCTTCTCCTTTGTCTCTGGTTCGTATTTTGATTGCTTTTCCACGCTCACTCCCTCCTCCCACATATTTGTGTTGTCTCCGCCTCCACCTCCAGCCCTCATTCCCATTCCCATTCCCATTTCATTTGAGGTGACTCAATGTCTTGCTCATTTCATTTTTTCCTATAGACAAAAACTATGCATTTGTGTGTAAGTCAGAGTCTGTGTTTGTGTGTGTGTGTGGTAGAGGGGTTTTCCTTTATCTGTCGCTCAGAGACAGACAAAGAGAGACTCAGAGCGAGAGTAAGATGATGGAAAATGGAAAAGTTCCAAGTGTATGACTTCATATGACTGACTCCATGCTACCATTTTCTGTTGAATTTCCTTTTGGTATTTTCATTTTCATGTTGTTGTGGCTTTGCCTTTCTCCCCTGATTAGCATTCGTCTTTGGGGGGGTGATAGTTTGGTTGGGGGCTTAATCCGGCAGATGACAGAGATCTTTGTCTATCGAACAAATCAATTAGATTGAAGTATTTGGGGGCAGAGCATGAAACAGATGATTGTTTGGCAGAGTTTGGAATGGATTCTAAGTGTTTTCTTGTTTGTGTTTTGGTAGGGTATAAATCTTAGTGGTATACAGGGGTTTAAGGCAAAGTACTTTCTATGGCAGTTCACGGCTTCTTCGAGTGATTATTTACTCTGAAAATAATGAAACATTTTCATAAATTCTTTAATTATTTCTGCCAATAAGAGATGCAGAGTTTGATTGGTTTTTCTTAGCGGTATATGGAAAGACATCTTTACGAGTCCTTTTAGTAATAAATTACTGAGAAATTAATGCTTATTTGCAGTACATGGAATGCTCATACATATGAAAGTGGTAGCTGTCCTTTCCTTTGCTCATAACGGCAACATTTTGGATGCCCAAACTTAAAGCTCCAACAAAATAAAGACTTCTTTAGGTATTCCACCCCGTAACGAATCAATACTCGTAATTTCATAACTTTTACGGGTTTTCTTCATCTTTTATTCATTAAATCCCTAATGTGTGTTTGCTTGCCGCCCGCCTCTTTTGTGAGCGTGTTTCCTTAATCAGAGCCCACCCAGCCAGCACCCGGCAGCAGGAGCACCACTTGGCCCCACTCTTGGCACCACAATTGGCACCACATTAACTGTTATCTCATGCTCAGGAGTCTTGGCACTC